GTCTTATTTAACTACCCTACTTCCACTATTACTGAAATGAAGAAGAAACCTCACACAGTTGTTTTTTGAGGTTTCTTGGCATATCTTCGTGACAGATTTTAATTTCCGCCAGTCAGTTTAGCAAACAACTTTTCAATGAAAATGGCAGCCATGTAATTTTAAGGGAAAGATGGTAATGCAGGAAAACGTTTACAAGACGAAAATATGAAATATATTTGAAAACCTCCGTCACTGCAAGGTTGCCAGGTTTCGGTTTCTCGGTTGGTTCCTGGAGTAGACATCCTAGGGTTTGGTTGGTCGATTTAAGATGTAATTATTAAAAAAATCGGTAATTGAAGAGATGTCAAATGTAATAATTTCATCGCTCACCGTAGAGTCTCTGTGGCTCAAAGGTAGGGCATTGGAGCGCGAAATCCGAAGGTCTGAGGTTCGCTTCATCATGGGGACTTAGAATTTCTTTTTTGTCCCACGCTCGTGACAAGACAAAAACATCTTTCTCTATGGAATTATCGTTATTACGAAGCTATTTTTCATCAATTCACATCTTATTTGCACTATTGTCCAATACTAATATCCTCGAAATAGGACTCTGCTGTAACGCAGAGTGCCGGTGCATTAAAGGGTAAATCTAGACACGTTTTCTCTACATTCTCTCTTTCCTTTCCTCAAATTTTCATTTCTTGGTATAGATGACAAGGATAGAACACATGAGATGATGAAGTAAAATATTCCTGTTTTGTCGTCAATCTCTGAGCTATATTTCTTGCGAACCATTTAGCAGGTACAGTGTGTGACAAAAATGTTAAAGGGTGATGTATGCTTGCAGCCTTAAATGCTGCTTAAATAAAGAAAGTTTATTGACCTAATTAGCTTGAAGGCAAACTTACAAATGGAGCCGAATAGTTTTTACATAAAACTTCTATATGAACACAAATTTCTCAAAACTCTCTCCGCCCGACTAGAGGAAGCAACTGAAAAGTCCAAAACAACCATCAAGACGAAACTTAATGGAAACCAGGTTTTGGGTTCTCGCTTGCTTCCTTTCCATCCTCAAGATGGCTTGAAATGGATTTGTCATCCTCCTCGTCCGCAGAAACGTCAGCTTCGTACCAAGACCAACAAATTAATTTTATCTTCAGCAGTGGCCGATTTTTGTGTTGGGATGATAGTTGTCTCTTCCCGTTTTCTCTGCAGCATGGAAAATAAATACATTACTGGTTAAAAGGAATCTTCATTGGGATTTTTAGAGTATTTTTAGTTTACGCATATGGGTCAAACTTAGTTTAGCACTTGAACCCTATATCGCCGTGACGAAACCGTTGAAATACTTGAGTTTTATGATGAGTCGCCGAGTCATTCAAATGGTTCTTGTATCTTGGGCAATTCCTTTTCTTTTCATCCTGACCATAGCTTCGACCTGATTCAATTTAATCTTTCGTGTTAGTGGCTTTGTGTATTCGCTTTTCGAGGTAATTTTGTGCGTAATTTTAATGTTTTGCCTCACATTCATATTACTTGCTGTTTACAAGAACTCTGGAAAACGCCGTTTAGCAAAGCAATCGCAGTTTAATCAACGCATCGTCAAAAACAAGACTCACAACAGGTCAGCAGTCACATGGGTGGCATGTAAAGTACCTCTACAAGTTGTAAACTCTGAAATAAACCCTATAGCTTATGCTTTCTTCAAAGGGACATAAAGCAATAATGTAAAAGGCTTTTTTCAAAAGGCGTTGTTTAATTACTGCAGAGTAGTACATGATTAATAAAAACTTCAGTTGATGCATATACTTTTTCGTCAATACTTCTTTTGGATCGCTAGGACGTCCGGTTGTGGATCGACCACGATTCTCTAATTCTCATCTTCATTGAAATTTAGTTCAAAAGCTCCTTTTGAAAGAAATAATTCAACTGTGTAAGAAATGGAACGTTGATATTACATTTATTCTAAGATTTAAGACCAGCTATCGAATATATCGAGGCTTAACTTTGTAAATAAATTCGACTAAGGGGTATGTTTTTAAAAAAACATCGAAGCTGGCTTGTATTTCGGTCTAAGAAACATCCGGTTCTTAAAAATATGAACTTGTTTTTGGATATCTTAATACAAGTGTAAAAACATCTCATCTGTACCTCCTCAATAAATGGAATAACTGATTGCCTGGTCCACGTGTTAATAAGAGATACATTTTCTGAATTTCTTCTACAACAATTGCCTGTCTACTTGTTCCAAGAGCTGTCATCTACGGGGAAGTTACAATGGATTGATAAGTCTGTCAATGTCGGAATTCAACTCTTTTTTTTCTCGTTTTCTCTATTTCATTTGCAAAAATTTCGTTTAGTTGAGTTAGATGACCATGATTGAAGCTGAATTGTATTTCAGTCATAGAAACATCCGATTGCTTAAACTGCGAAAACACTGTGTTTACTATCATCAGAAAGTAACTGAAATATCATATTCCACCTCAATTTGCTCGAAGAGATCGCCTGTTCCACTGCCTGGTCCTTTCAAAATTTCGGAACATTATTTTCTTAGGTTGTTCAACAAACTGCAGGACTTTGAAACGATGAAAGCTAGGAAGTAAGAGTTTTTCCGACTTTTCGTGCAAAATAGTCGATTTTGTTGACATGTCTTAAAACTTATTCATGAGCTGCTATTTGCGGAGAAGCTATATTTGATTGATAAGTCCATCAATGCCGAATTGAGACCCTCTGCCATCAGCACGTTCTCCCTATCCATTGCGTAATGTGACAACATGGGTGTTTTCATTCAAGCCGTTTTCATTCCAAGGAAACTCCTCATGGGAATACTTGTCAAAAAAAAGAAAGAAAAAAAAAAGCCCTCACTAGGCTAGTAGTGAATAACTTGACAAAAGTAAAAGTCGTGCAGTGTGTATACGTTTAGGTAATCATATGATTTCTGGTGCAATTTGGAATAAATGAGCACGAGTAAATTTTTTCAAAGACCAACAAAATTTCATGAGCCCGTCGGGCGAGTGCAATTTGTGGTCTTAAAAAAAATTAACAAGTGCTTATTTACTCCAAATTGCACAATAAAAATCATGAGATTACGTATTGGTAATATACATGAAAAAATTGGTAATATACATAAAAATATACGATCTTAATTATGCAGAAGCAAAGTGCGTGCATCAAGTACAAAAGTAATTTATTCAAACCCTGCAAATGACTTTGTGCGTTCGGTCAAGAAAAAACAAGAACCCTAAGATCAAAACAATATACAATGATATTTTCACATATTAAACGCGCAAAAAATTTAAAAGTCCGACTAAACAGTTCAAGGAATTGTTCATTCTGTGTCCGAATCACTTTCGATGAAACGGAATCTTCGTTTCCGAGGTTTAACCAGGTTTGTTTTTAGTTTTCGGCGCGACTCATACTTTTCGATTTCCTTGGAAATTGCCTTGTCTGAACACAACTTTTTCCAAACCGACAACCAAAAAGCATTGCTTTTTACAATGTTTTCGTTGTTAAAGCTGTTTTTCACTTGTTTTCTTGTTACGGTGGCGAAAGAAAACCTGGTTAAAATGCCGGCGATTGTTTTACTCGCAAATTTTCAGCGTATCCAAATGTTGCGACATCTGAGGCTCGCACTTGATTAACTATCTGTAAGTTTCTTTGTTTATTGACCAATCAGAATTTCTGGTTTGTTATACTTCTCCGCACTGAATTAACCCTCTTCTGTACTGAATTACCTGAAAACTGCATTTATCTTTATCAATCAGAACTGAGTAATTTTTTCATGTATATTATTAAATTAGTTAATGAGATAATTTTGAGTGCAATTTGGTGTTAATAAGCTCGAGAAAAATTTTCAAGGACAACAAAATTGCACTAGCTCGTAGGGCGTGCACAAGTGCAGTCTGTAATCTTTGATGGCAACATGTTCCCCCTATCCATTGGGTAATTAATTTTTTTGGTAGTGTAGGTGACAATAATGTAAGATGGCCGAGCAGTTTTCATTCCATGGAAATTCTTCATGGAATAACTTGTCCAAAAAGATACCCACTAGACTTGCTGTGGATAAGTTGACAAAAGTAAAAGTAGCGCAATGTGTTTAGGTAATATCATAATTTCAAGTGTAGTCTGGTGTTAATAAGCTCAAGAGAATTTTCGTGTTTCACCTTTCACTCGTGTTACATAAGAATGCACTCGATTTCAGCCAATCAGAGGCGCGTAATTTTTTCATGTTCATTATTAATTGGAATAAAGTCGAGGAAACTGTGAAAGGCGAGCGCTTTCAGAAAATTTTACACCGTTAATTTTTGTTGAGTAGTCTTTGTACTCTGTTAGTGTGAGTACAAACGATTTTTCCATGAAAAGTGGTGCAATTTTTTGAGGAAAAGAGGATAATAATCACTATTATTAAATTTTAATAATTTTATAAAATCAAAAACCGTAGGCACGGAGCCGTACGGGTCTTATGATAAACATATGTTATCATGACTATTGCCCTCCAAAAGTACAAAAAAAAAGAATCACTACCTTAGGTATGCTGCGCTGCAAATTATTTACAATTTAGATGCATTTTTTTGTCGACTACATTGCTATGCAAGGCTTCCCTTAATAGCTGTTATTTTCTCCAACTTTAACCGGTGCTATTTCGTATTAGGTAACCTTCTCTTGTCATGTTTAACAATTACAGTTCCCTTATACATGTTTCCGTTGTAATCCTTGTGATATCACGTGATCGGTGAACTATAGCTCCACGATTGGTTCTAAAAAATCTCAGCGGAAGAAAGAAAACTTGCCTTTCTGTTAGGCTGAGATGTCAAAAATACAATGACAATGATATAATGACAAACAATAACAATGTTCTCGTGCCTTCGTGGTTCCTCGTCACTATAACTAGAGCAGTTTTGTCTTTTTACTGGCCTAATAAACCATGCTTATGGCTCAGCTATTGAAATTGATGTTGCATCGAACATAAAAACAGTGATGCCGCTTACAAGCTGTTGTTCTGTGGCTATAGGTCCCCTCAACTATATCGCACAATAGCGAAATAATCCAGCAGGTGATGGATTTAAGTAGTAAACATAAAAACCATCGCATCTCCTCACATGAATTTTAACTTTTCTGTAGCAGCAATTAGAATAACCATGGAAACATGCCTCCCTGTCGACAATGCCATCCTCGATGAGTGGGTGCAGCCCGTTTAAGAAACCTGTAATGACTGTTAGGCATTTGCGGGGACTGACACATTGGTCCAGCATTTTAGTGTATGAACTGGATTGAAATCTGTACCAGCCAGACACAAGGGACCTGTCCGAGTTCTGTCCTCTTCCAAACGATGTGTGGCGACCGGGCTCGCTCAGTACACTGTAATTCATACATTCTCCTGGCGCTGAAAATAAGTGTGCAAATTTTAGTCAAAGTTAAGAAACTTACAACTAACGTCCTGAAGAGCGAATGTCTAGGCCATTTTATTCCGATAAAGATTGTCAGTTCTTTGTCACACTTTGTCATTTCAGAAAAAACTACTTTATTACATCCATTTTGAAATCATTATTGATCCTTGCAATCTGACAAGCTCTCAGCACTATAATTTTTTTTCGAATCAAACTATCTTTTGCTCAGTCAGAGTTTTGTCAAGCTTTGTCCATTTGACAAAATATGAAATGAACAGCTCCTAGAAAGCATTCTACTATAATTCATTGGCACATTTGATCCCTCAACTTTATTTCACGTACCTTCTCCGATGGGATGTGAGTTGGTTTCCACAATAGGAAATATGACCAGTCAGAAAAATCAAAGATCTGTCCTAAAGATCACTTGTGGTTATCATTATCATGGAATAAAAAAATGTTTGCAGTAACTGTACGATGAAAAACTTCAAAAGTTACCTACCGATTTCACAATCACTGCCACGATAACCCGGGTAGCAAATGCATCTATGGATTCTGTCTCTGAATGAAATCGGTGAACATTTCCCATGGCTGGAACAAGTTTGTCCGGTACAAGGATTCTTAGAGAATAAACATCGTTAAGGTCATAAATGCATTGTTTTTCTGCGAATTATGTTTCAAGCCGGTCTTCAGAGTATCAACCTTGAACTTTCCAGAGGTGATTGAGCCACAACTTTTCCCTATCAACACCAATAAATTATGTAGAAAAGTGATGATGGGTATCAGCAAACCCATCAGTTACTACTTTCAACAACTAATTCGATAAGATTCGAACTTGAAACCCGTTTTCTTTTATTCCTGAGAAATACTTAGCTACCAAATAGGGTATGATGCCAATTTATTGGTCGAGGAAGGAAGGAGTCAGTTTAAAAGAGTCACGAACTTTTTGCAAACTATCCTCAACTCAACTGTTTTGATTACTTCACCATTGTTTTTCTATTTTTTGACCCTAACTCCGGCATTTCTCCGAGCTACACAGGGTACCAAAGGATAACTTTTTCACCGGGCAATTAAATACAGTTCATTAGGAACTTTAGACAAAGAAGATATATTTTGTGTACTTAGAGAGGTAAATTATGAAAGAAAGGAAAGTGATTTGCCAAAGACCCTTACGGCAAATTATATCTCAATACAGACTTTTTATTCCGCGAGAACACAAAAGCTATTTAAGAAAACTGCTTTCACTTTTATACGCCTCCTCATTCTGGAATTAAAACTTTTAAATTAGATCTCATGAATAGGTGCCTTTGTTGACATTAAAATTTTCTTTTTCAAGTGTTTCCATTCTCGTAAACTTTGTCTGTTTGCAGCGAAAAACTGATGTTTTTGTTTTATTTTATCATTATTAGGAATAAAAACTTCGGGACTCCCGCTTCGCGAGTTCAAATTTCGATAAATTCCTAAATGAAATTTCAGCCCTTTCGTATTATGATTTCATTATTATGAAAAACAGCAGGGCGCCGGTTAAGAAATTACTTGCTTTCCTAATTCATGAACGCTCTAATTCTGGATATTTCTTGTTAGCGGAATCCATCTACACTTAGAGGACGTAAAAGATTATCGTTGACGAATAACTATCAGAGCTGCCTTTGCATATTTCCCTGTGAAGCATGATACACTTTATTCGGTTTTTTCATTTTCCTTCTTTTCTCCTTTAATTTTTGACGGGTGGATTATTTGACAAAGAGTTTTTTGAAAATTCCACCAGAGGAACGAAAGAACTGTTTTGAATTTGGAAGGTTAATCGTAATGCGACTCAAACTAAAATTAAGTTTTTAATCCTCTACTGCTTACTATAGACCGACACGTTAGCCTACACCAATGTTACTAGTTTTCTACCTTCAACATGAGGTGATGCGAATGGTTATCTGCACTGAGCTTTTTAGTGTTATTGTAGAAATGGGACGATAGAAGATCACACCAGAGTTTTCCTGTACTATCAGCAAATCCAGCCACGTTGAATGAAACGCAGAAGTTGTTCTCAAGGCAATCGAAGCCACAGTCGAGGAGGTCATGCACAAACGTTCTCTTTATGTGGGGAACATCAAGACGACAAAATGGAAGAGGCTCAAACGAGGCTGTTATATACTTAGCAACGAGTCGTTGACAATTCAAAATGCACAGAATTAACACAATGATGGCACAGAATTTCATCTCTTTTGCAAATTTATGCCAAACAATTTTTAACGCCAGATAGAAGCCCGATGGTCTCCAAAAGACAAGACAAATGGAAATCACAGATAAATTGTAGTTATAACAATATAAATAATCGATGAGAAATCAAACACAATGTAAAATAAACAACGATATTTAACATATGTCCCTTTCTAACATTTAAGGTCCCAAACGTTACATGAAAATCACCAACCACTTTCATTCTACCTCCACGAACCAATGTTACGAGCACTCTGTGATAAAAGTTTTTAGATCGGAAGGACAGAAAGAAGCGGATTAGGTGATCGTTTTTGTGCGAAGAGACATAAAAAAAATATGAAAAAGACGCCTCCAAACCTTTCTTTAAACAGCTTAACATCCCTGATCAATTATTCAAAAACAAGGCTGTCAGCGGGATTTTTTCCCCACCAGGGCAATACTGAGAGTATGCTATTTTCCTCCAACGCTAAGACAACGCTTTGAAAGTCAGCTTATAATTGATAATCAACCAAATGATTCTTTTGTCCACGACTCAGAGAAAGAGACTTTTTATATTCGAATAGACCTCATGATTATCGCAAGTTAGCTTTTGTCACATACATAAGTTTTAATATACCCGTAAGTTTTAAATATACCCATATGGAATCATCACGTGGAGTAAAGACAATTAACAAAAGGATGTAGTAAAAATGAGTTCCAGTTTTTGGAAGGTAAAAATTCAAAAAATCAAAACAGAAATCTTGACGTCTTGATGTGACTAAAAACAAATTAAGCAAGTAATTCAGAAACGTGAAATTGAAATTCTTCTTCTAAATTCTTGGACCTGCTGCAAAGGTTTTGTTTTAAGATTTTGTTACAAATGTGGTTTCTCCTGACCGAGAGAGTTATCTCAATTTCAAAACCTATGTAGTCCACCAAAAAAAAAAAATTAAAAAATTTTAAAAAAATGTTTCTTTGCGCAAACTTGAGGCTAGATGGTTTTAGAAAACCTCTATTGCAATATAAAGGCAATTTTTCCTTTCTTTTAAGAATTTTGAGAAAGCTAAGAAGGAAGAGCTGAGTTTTCTTTCTTTTCGTGCAAAATAGTCGATTTGTTGACATGTTTTAAAATTTATTCACGAGGTGTTATTTACGTAGAAGCTATATTTAATTAATCGCAGGCGACCCGAGAAAAAGCAAACGATTAATTCGTAAAAGCGTCACGCGTTGTGTGACTCCATGTTAAGTTATGATAGGAACCGTTGAGAATTTAAACTCATTATAAGGAATAGTATGGGGAACGAAATAAGGTCGATTTTCAACGATACATATTCGAAATATGAACATTCCACACGCAAAATCGATAGAAGACTGTCAAATTAACATAAACATTACAAAACTTAAGTTGATAAGCTGATGTTTGTTCAAACTTATTGCAATGGAGATGTTGAGAAAGAGGTTATGCTTAGCAAATCTTTTCGGAAGTCATTTTAAATTTTTTCAAGGTGATTTAGTATATTTCGGATATATTTTGTAAAAATATGACTAATTTTGAACCAACTTTGAAACTTATTAAATTTAAAATCAACATTCTGTCTGGTTTAACAAGTTTAGAGTGGTTTCAATGCAGTGTTTCTTTATTCAGTGAATTCGATTTTCAATACCGTACTCGGCAAAGCCTCGTGCGGTATTGAAATTACTCGTTCATTGTTAATGAACACGTGCAGATTACTCCCGATAAATCACTCACTGGGTGCCTTAAACTGTAAATAATAAACTTTATTTATACACGAGAACTTTGGCGAACTGGGAAAGTTCGTTACAAAAATGAACGTGTACCCGATCGTATTAATATCGTATTAACATCATTAACAGTATTAGTATTTTTTTTTTCCGTTTCTCTGAAAGTTCAGGCATCTCTTAGACAATAGCAAAGTAGTTGCTCCTTGGTTATGGAATCAATTGCCTCTTGAACCCTGGAGTGTTACCTCTGTTGACCAGTCCAAGATGCAGTTGATGACACTTATTTAAATTGACTTATGATGTCTAGTTTTTAGTAGTGTAGTTTAGTTAATTTCATTATAACATTAGCTTTTGTATTTTATAATTTACCCTTTGTTGTACAGCGCTTTGAGCAATTAGTGAACACAGCGTCTAAAAAGTGTTTTTATCATAATTATCATTATCATCCTTATAATTATTATTATAGTTATTGATATTATTGGGTCGTGAGCATGATTTGGATCGCCTAACCAATTAGATCTTCTTTGGCTTTTGCAAAATCCTTTTAACAGTCGAAAAAATATTTCTCGCCTTTAAGGGCAGTTATCGTCGAATCTTTGATGTGATTTTTTTAGATAGTTAAAATGATGCGTTTGGAGAAACGCAGGAGGATTAAATGTTGTAGGAAGAAAGCTTATTTACTGCAATTCATTCATTTCATATCTCACTTTCTATTCTCATTTTTACTAATCTGCCCTCTTTGAATGACGTGTTCGATTCACAAGCCTTTTGCTTAGAAATTTCTTTTGACAGCATTGTTGGGGTTCTTTGGTAGCTGATGGTTTTCCCTCGTCAAACTTCTTCTCTTTGTACTTCTCAGCGGCCTCCTTCGCTTTTTTAAGCAGTTTTGCATATTCAATAGCTTCTTGATCAAAGACTCTTTTTCCGACAGTGGTACATGCCAGGTTTCTTCAACAGTTCGATATTTCACCTCCTTTAAACGTTCCTTTATGAAATTTTCAGTAAACTGTTTCACTCCCTTGGCTACCTCGGCATCTGCATGATCTCCTAGGTTCTCGACGATCATAATGTCGTAAACTAAATATCCTGCAATATAAATTTCTTGTGCTCTTTTCTCGAGGTCCATTACCTTGACTCCTGAATCTCATTGTATATAACATATTTACAACAGGATCGAACGAGATTTCTTGGTCAAACATCTTCTCCGTGCCTATAGAAAATTTTGCTCGTCCTTCCGCTTGTTCCTCACTGCAGTAGGGGGGAGGGGGGTGATTTCAAACCCCCTTGCTTCTCGTCACGTTGCGATGTTTTGAAAGGTTTCTCTCTTGAGCAAATAGCCTGCCACGTTGTCTACAAGATGATGTTAATATTACGGGATACATATGCAAATGACGCTGCTGGAGGTTACTAACGCCATTCGACATGGATGATTTTTAAAATAAATCACTTATTTCACCATAATTTTTGGCTTGTCGGAAGAATAGTAGCTATCGAACTTGGCAGGAAATTAAGTCCCCAACCCGGTAAGTGAGAGATTTTCAAAATAAGAATCAGTGTAATCCGTGATCCACTTCATCGATTGAACCGTGCGATAAAATTGTTCAGCAAAACCACGACTTCCGATCGAGACAAAGCTAGAGGCCACCACTAAATCACCACCACCACTGTATCAACTCAACAGTCTGATCCAGGTTATTCAAAAGATAACAAGTGTTCATTAATACTGTTTAATAAACAGCTACTTAGTTCTTGATTCGCTTACGTGCCATTGATCATTTTTTGTCCCTTCATATTCTCTATTGAAAGCTATTATTCTGTGCACATCAGAAATTGAAACATCGCTTTACAAAGTTTTAATAAGTGGGAACACTAAGCAGAAAGAGGCTTTTCTGTTTTTTTGTCTTATTTATGACCATCAGCATGTCCTAATTTTGTTTTGGCAATTAACCTCTCCCCCTCTTTTTTGCAAACGCAACTAAAACGAGTGAAACGTAACTGCAAGGCATTCACTATGAGAAAAGAAGAAAGAAACTATTAGCGTTAAAAGTTTGGTTCGCCGCAAGTAGCTATCAAACCAGCCATTAATGCAAAAATTGATTCCGCCTCAAGGGATCCATTTGTTTACAACTGATTCCTTCCAGGGAACCATTTCTTTACAATTGATTCCCTCAAGCCAATCATTAATTCACAACTGATTCCTTCAGTGTTTTCATTTGGAGTACGGATGGAAAAGAACTTATTGATTTGGCATTTTACGGTTCATTGCAAATGATTCTATCAAAATCCCTCTAACACACGAAAAGCCCATTGTCCTCATTGTATAACAAGCTGTATCGTGCCCTCGCCTGCTATTTTTCTGTACTTGCTGTGCCCACTTTTCGAGTCTTTCAGTCCAAGTCCAAGCTTGCTCATCAAAAAACATATGTCTGTTCAAAGTATTACTAATTAATTGACGGAGCCCATCCATTTTTTCATCAAGATCGTCAGGTATTTTTTTTCTTTCTCTGAGTGAAAGTTCTCGGAAAAGTCTGGCAATTTCATTCCAAGTCAGAAATTGAGAAATTTAAGAGAAAAGAAAAAATTCTCTATCGATTCAAGTACTTTCGAACGTTTTAAAGGCACAAAATGTTAAAACACTGAATTGAGTTTCAATGGATAAAAAAATTGATTTAATTTTAGTGGTAGCTCATCCACATACTCAGCTCTTTATCGATAAAATTCCGAAACCGGCTGGCGAATAACATTCATATACGACTCTGCTGTAACGTTGATCACTTGATAATAAAAGTGGGCGATTTTGGCTTGGCACGGACGAAAAGGATGATGCTTTAGATAAAGATTCACAAGATAACATCCTTAGGAACACTTGTAAGCCTCCGTTATTGCAAGGTTTGGGTTTCTCAGCTGATTTATTAAGCAGAGATCACAAGGTGTTCGTAGGTGGATGAAAAATGTAATCATTCGAAAAAGCAACGATAAAAAGGTTATCAAATGTCAACCATAGAAATTTTTGTCATCAATTTCTCATCGGTCCATACCTCTTGAAAATTATAAACATGCGCCTTACCCCGTGCACAAAGTTCCTGACACAAAAACAAGGACGAACGGATACTTTCAGCCTAATTACATAACAACAGCGACTAACTTAATTTTAACTTTATCAAAACACTTTTTGCTCGACCGAAGAGGCAATTTAAGAGTCCTGGACAGCCTTTAAGACGACATTTAATGGAGCTGTGGTTTTGGGTTTTCAGCTGGTTTCTTTACATTCTCACGATAGTTGGAAATGGATTTGTCATTTTCCTCGTCTGCAGAAAACTTCAGCTTCGCACCGAAACCAACACATTCATTGTGTCCTTAGCAGTGGCTGATTTTGCTTTGGGAGTGATTGCTGTTCCTTTGCGTTTTCTCTGTAACATGATAAACGAGTGTATCTCCAATAAAAATGCAAGCTTATCCGGGATGTATGCGTGGGTGTTCATACTTTACGCTTCTAGAACAAACTCGTCTAGCTTAGTTCTGGAACGCTATATCGCCGTCGTGAAACCGTTCAAATATTTGACTTTTACGCTTATTTCCATCTGTTATTCGAAGTAATCTTGTGTGTGATTTTTATCTTTTGCGTTGCTGTTTATAAGAACTCTAAAAATTGCATTTTACCTAAGCAAATCCAGTTAAACAAACGGTTCGCTTAAGTTAAAGCTCAGAATACCTCAGCAGTAAAATGACTAGCTTTGGTAAAGTGCATGTTTCTATCCTGTTACGGACTATTCATGCATTGTAGTTTATTAACTATAAATGGTCGTCAATGTGAGGATTTTCATCACAAAGTTCCTCTACAAGTTATTAACTCTGGCATAAACCCTATAGCTTATGCCCTCTTCAAAAGGGACATAGAGCAAGAATGTAAAAGGCTCTTTTTCAAAAGGCGTCTCTGATTATTCCTCAAAGCAGTTCTTAGGCAAGAAAAACTTCAGTTGATGAATTTAGTTATCACTTTCCCTTAGATCTCAACGATGTTCAGCTGTGGATCCATCCGGAATGTACTGGTTCTTATCTTCGTTGATTTCTAACGGTGTAATATTGTAGCTTCGATATTAAATTTATTTCTAAGATTTAAGACCTTGTAATGAATATAACGAAGCATTCCATTGCTGGAGCAGAATTTTTTTTCTTTAAGCATTGAAGCTGATTTGTATTTCGATATAAGAAAGATCTGATACTTAAAACTACGAGCTTGCTTTACATGCGATAATAAAACTGTAAACACATCTAATATTCCTTCACTTTTGATTAGCCTCTACAAGTCTCTATCAGATCGTCTTATCCACTGACTGGTCCTCCCTGTGTTTTAGAAAATCGTGTTTTTGTTGACATATTACGTCAGACAAAACTTTGAAACGGCATTTAACTTAAATACAAAACAACTTCTCCATGAGTCGGTTTTTTTTTTTATTTTTTTGGAAGGGGTTGGAGTTGTCTTTCATAGTAAATTCGAAAATAAAAGCTCTCCTTTGGGCAATTTTTGAATGGTGCCGTTAATGACAATGCTATAACATTTCCAAGCTTTTCCATTCCTTAGAAACTTTTTAGGGAAATGCTTAACCAACTGTGAATTATTTGGCTAGTACATAAGTCATACAAATCATTGGAACTATGACAATGAAATGGTGAAAGGCGAGTTCTTTCGGAAAATTTGACGCCGTTAAAGTTTCTTGATAAGTGTTCGTGACAGGTTTTTTGGCTTTGTTAGTGCGTTAGGCAAACAATTATTCCACGAAAGGTAACGAACTTGATGACAACGTGAGATATAATTGCTCCAGTTCAAACAGAAAGATGGGTAAAACTTTACTTTACGATTCACACCTGCTGTTTTAACTTTAAATAGATCTTTACCGACGAAATCCTTCACAGTTAGGAGGTTATTTTTGAAAATTCTCTGGTGGTAGTTTATTCCATACTAGTCCTAGACAATGAAGGAACGTCGGCATAAAACAGAATTTTAGCTTTTAACCTTGTTGTATTTTTGATCAATAATTTATTTCCGTGAGCCTACAAAATAACTGCCATTCAATATACATGACCACCTGTATTTGCTCCTATTTAACTGCCCTACTTCTACTATTACTACAATGAAAAAGAAACCTCACACACTTATTTTTTTAAGTTTTCTTGGCATGTCTTCGTGACAGGTTTTAATTTCCGCTAGTCCGTTTAGCAAAGACATTTTCGATGAAAATGGCGGCAATGTTTTTTTAAGGGAAAGATGGTAATACAGAAAAACGTTTACCAGAGGAAAATATGAAATACATTCGAAAACCTCCGTCATTGCAAGATTTTCGGTTTCTCGGTTGGTTCTTGGAGTAGACATCGTAGGGTTTAGTTGGTCGATTTAAAATGTAATCATTGGAAAAATCGGTAATTAAAAAGATGTCAAATTTCATAATTTACTCGCTCATCGTAGAAACTCTGTGGCTGTAGCATCGGAGAGCGAAATCCAAAGGTCTGAGTTCGATTCATCGTATTGGGACTCAGAATTTCTTTTTTCTCTCACGCTCGTGACAAGACAAAAAACATCTTTCTCCATGAAATTATTGCTATTTTTCATCAAATCACGTCTTATTTGCACTATTGTGCAACACGAATATTCTCAAAATAGGACTCTGCTGTCACGCGTCATAACGCAATTCTCATTTGTTTGTATAAACGAAAAGGATAGACCACATGAGATGATGATGTAAAAATTTCCTGTTTTGTCGTCAATCTCTGATTGGTCCATACTTCTTGCGAACCATTTAACAGGCACAGTGTCTGTCAAAAATGTTAAAGAGTGATGGATGCTTGCAGCCTAAAATGCTACTTAATTAAAGAAAGTCTATTGACCTAATTAGCTTTAAGGAGGACAAATTTCCATTCTCAAAACTCTCTCCACCCGACTGAAGGAAGCAGTTGAAAAGTCCAAGACAGCCATCAAGACGAAACTTAATGGAAACGTGGTTTTGGGTTCTCGCTTGGTTCCTTTCCATCCTCACAATGGCTGGAAATGGATTTGTCATCCTCCTCGTCTACAACAAACGTCAGCTTCGTACCAAGACCAACACATTGATTGTGTCTTTAGCAGTGGCCGATTTTTGTGTTGGGATGATAGCTCTCCCTTCACGTTTTCTCTGCGGCGTGGAAAATAAGTGCGTTACCAATGAAACAGCAAGCTTAATCAGTACTTATGTAAGAGTATTTTTGGTGTACGCATCTGGGTCAAACTTATTTAGCGTAGTACTTGAACGCTATATCGCCGTGGCGAAACCTCTGAAATATTTGACTTTTATGACAAGCTGCAGAGTCATTCAGATGGTTGTTACATCTTGGGCAATTCCTTTTCTTTTCATTCTGACTATAGCTTCGATCCAATTCAATTTAATCTTTCGTGTTAGTGGCTTTGTGTATTTGCTTTTCGAGGTAATTTTGTGCGTAATTTTAATGTTTAGCCTCACATCCATGTTTCTTGCTGTTTACAAGAACTCTGGAAAACGCCGTTTAGTAAAGCAATTGCAGTTTTATCAACGCATCGTCAAAATGAAGACTCACAACAGGTCAGCAGTCACATGGGTGGCATTGGTAACGATTGTGTTTCTTTTGTGTTACGGATTACTGATACGTTGTAGTATAGTGGTTTTAACTGGTCATCCTTGTAAAGATTTTCACTATAAAGTACCTCTACAAGTTGTAAACTCTGGAATAAACCCTATAGCTTATGCTTTCTTCAAAAGGGACATAAAGCAAGAATGTAAAAGGCTTTTTTTCAAAAGGCGCTGTTTAATTACTGCAGAACAGTTCATGGTTAATAAAAACTTCAGTTGATGCATATACTTATTTCGAAAATACTTCTTTTGGATCGCTCGGACGTCCGGTCGCGGATCGACCACGATTCTCTAATTCTCATCTTCATTGCAATTTGGTTGAAAAGCTTCTCATGAAAGAAATAACGCAACTGTGTAAGAAATTCTAAGATTTAGGACCAGCTATCGAATATATCGAGGCTTAACTTTGTAAATAAAGTTGACCAAAAAGAATGTTTCTAAAAAACATCGAAGCTGACTCGTATTTTAGTCTAAGAAACATCTGGTTCTTAAAATATGAACTTGCCGCTGGATATCTCAATACAAGTGTAAAAATGTATCATTTGTATCTTCTCAATAAATGGAATAACTGATTGCCTGGTCCACGCGTTCAGTGCTCTCTAATAAACGATAAATTTTCTGAATACTCTTCTAAAACAGTTCCCTGTGTACGTGTTAGTTGTTCCAAGAGCTGTCATCGACGGGGAAGTTACAATGGCTTGATAAGTCTGTCAATGTCGAAATTCGACTCTTTGATATCAAAGCGTTTTCTCTATTTCATTTGCAAAAATTTCTTTCGGTTGCGTTAGATGAACATGATTGACGCTGAATTGTATTTCAGTCACAGAAACATCCGATTGCTAAAACTGCGAAAACACTTTGTTTACTATCATCAAAAAGTAACTGACATATCATATTCCTCCTCAATTTGCTGTAACGCTCGAAGAGATCGCCTGTTCCTCTATCTGTTCCTTTCAAAATTTCAGAACATTATGCTCTTGTTCAACAAACTGCAGGACTTTGAAACGATGAAAGCTAGGAAGGAAGAGCTAATTTTACCGACTTTTCGTGCAAAATAGTCGATTTTGTTGACATGTTTTAGAACTTATTCATGAGCTGCTATTTGCGGAGAAGCTGTATTTGATTGATAAGTCCGTCAATGCCGAATTCAGACTCTCTGTTATCAACAAGTTCTTCCTATCCATTGCATAATTTGACAGCGTAGGTGTTTTCATTCACGCTGTTTTCATTCCAAGGAAACTCTTCGTGGGAGTACTTGTCAAAAAAAAAAAACGCTCACTAGATTGCTAGTGAATAACTTGACAAACGTAAAAGTCGTGCAATGTGTATAAGTATAGGTAATCACATGATTTCGAGTGCAATTTGGATTAAATACGCACGAGTAAATTTTTTCAAAGACTAACAAAATTGCATGGGCCCGTAGGGCGAGTGCAATTTGTGGTCTTTGAAAAAATTAATAAGTGCTTATTTACTCCAAATTGCATTCCTGTTACATGAGAATGTACTCGATTTCAGCAAATCAGAGGCGCTTAATTTTTTTTATAATCATTATTAACTGGAATAAAGTCGAGGAAACTTGAAAGGCGAGCGCTCTCAGAAAAATTTACGCCGTTAATTTTTGTTGAGTAGTCTTTTTACTCTGTTTGTGTGAGTGCAAACAATTTTTCCATGAAAAATGGTGCAATTTTTTGAGGAAAAGAGGATAAGATCACTATTATTAAATAATAATAATTATTTAAAATAATTAAAAGCCGTACGCGAGGAGACGCACGGGTCTTATGATAAACATATGTTATCATGACTACTGCCCTCCAAAAGTACAAAAAAGAGAATTACTACCTTTAGTATTTTGCGTTGCAAATAATTTCCAATTTGGATGCATTTTTTTTTGTCGACTACATATCCTATACAAGGCTGGCTTTAGTGGCTGTAATTTTCCTCTAACCTTAGCCAGTATTTCGTATAGGTAACCTGCTCTTGTCCTGGTTAACAATTACAGTTCCCTCAGACATGTTTCTGTTATAATCCTTGTGATATCACGTGATCGGTGAACTGTAGCTCCACTATTGGTTCTAAAAATCTCAGCGGAAGAAAAAAAATTTTCTTTGTGTTAGGCTGTCAAACAATTAACAATGTTCTCGTACCTTCGTGGTACCTCGTCACTATAACTAGAGCAGTTTTGTCTTTTTGCGGGCCTAATAAACCATGCTTATGGCTCAGCTATTGAAATTGATGTTGCATCGAACATAAAAACAGTGATGCTGCTTACAAGCTGTTGTTCTGTGGCTATAGGTCCCCTCAACTATATCGCACAATGACGAAATGATCCAGAAGGTGATGGATTTAAGTAGTAAACATAAAATCCATCGTATTTCCTCACATTAATTTTAAATTTTCTGTAGCAGCAATCAGAATGACCATCGAAACACGCCTCCCTGTTGACAATGCCATCCTTGATGAGTGGATGCAGCCGTTTAAAAAACCACTGAGGAGTGTTAGGCATTTGCGGGGAACCAGCATTTTAGTGTGTGAGCTGGATTGAAATCTGTAACAGCCAGACACAAGGGTTCCGAGTTACCTCCTCTTCCAAACGATGTGTGGCGACCGGGCTCGCTTAGTACACTGTAATTCATACATTCCAATGGCGCTGAAAATAAGTGTGCACATTTTAGTCAAAGTTAAGAAACCTACAACTGAAGTCCTGAAGGACGAATGTTTAGGTCATTTTATTCTGATAGAGACGGTCAGTTTTTTATCATAATTTATCATTTTCAGGAAAAAATTGCTTTATTAGAATCATTTTAAAATCATTATTGATCCTTGCAATCTGATTAGCTCTTCGCACTATGATGTATTTTCGAATCGCACTATTTTTTGCTCTGTCAGGGTTTTGTTAAGCTTCGTCCATTTGACAAAATATGAAATGGACAGCTCCAAAAAAGCATCCTACTATTATTCATTGGCACATTTGTTCCCTGAACTTTATTTCACGTACCTTCTCCGATAGGATGTGAGTTGGTTTCCACAATAGGAATTATGACCAGTCAGAAAAATCAAAGATCTGTCCTAAGATCAATTGTGGTTATCATAATCATGGAATGATTGAAAAACTTCAAAAGTTACCTACCAATTTCACAATCACTGCCACGATAACCCGGATAGCAAATGCATTTATGGATTCAGTCTCTGAATGAAATCGGCGAACATTTCCCATGGCTAGAACAAGTTTGTCTGGTACAAGGATTCTTAAAGAATAAACATCGTTAAGTTCATAAATGCAATTTTTCTCTGCCAATTACAAGCTGGTCTTCACAGCATCAACCCTGAACGTTCCAGAGATGATTGAGCCAGAACTTTTCCTTTCAACACCAATAAATTATGTAGAAAAGTGATGATGGGTATCAGCAAACCCATCAGTAAGTAAGAGTATTCTTCAACAAGGAACTCGATAAGATTCGGACTTGTAACCTGTTTTTTCATTCCCGAGAAATACTTAGTTACCAAATAGGGTATGATGCCAATTGATTGGTTGGGGAAGAAAGGAGTCAGTTTATATGAGTCACGAACTTTTGGCAAGCTATCTTCAACTCAACTGTTTTGATTACTTCGCCATTGTTTTTCTATTTTTTGATCCTTATTCCGGCATCTCTGCGAGCTACACAGGGTACCAAAGGATAACTTTATAAGAGGGCAATTAAATACGGTTCGTTAGGGAAGTTTAGACAAAGAAAAAATTTTTTGTGTACGTAGAGAGGTAAATTATGAAAGAGAAGAAGGTGATTTGCCAAAGAGCCTTACGGCAATGTATATCTCGATACAGACTTTTTATTCCGCGAGAACAAAAAAGCTATTTAAGAAAACTGTTTCCACTTTTATACGCCTCCTCATTCTGGAATTAAACCTTTTAAATTAAATCTCATGAATAGGTGTCTTTGTTGACATTAAAATCTTCTTTTTCAAGTGTTTCCATTCACGTAAACTTTGCCTGTTTGCAGCGAAAAACTGATGTTTTTGTTTTATTTTATCATCATTAGGAATAAAAACTTTAGGACTCCCGCCTCACGAGTTCAGATTTTGATAAGTTCCTGAATGAAATTTCAGCCTTTTCGTATTATAATTTCATTATTATGAAAAACAGTAGGGTGCCGTTTGGTCGAGAAATTACTTGCTTTCCTAATTCAGGAACGCTCTAATTCTGAATATTTCTTATTACCTGAATCCATCTACACTTAGAGGACGTCAAAGATTACCGTTAACGAATAACTATCAGAGGCACCTTTGCATATTTCCCTGTGAAGCATAATACACTTTATTCGGCTTTTTCATTTTCCTTCTTTTCTCCTTTAATTTTTGACGGGTGGATCATTTGACAAAGAGTTTTTTGAACATTCCACCAGAGGAACGAAAGAACTGTTTTGAATTTGGAAGGTTAATCGTAATGCGACTCAAACTAAAATTAAGTTTTTAATCCTCTACAGCTTACTATAGACCGACACGTTAGCCTACACCAATGTTATTAGTTTTCTACCTTCAACATGAGGTGATGCGAATGGTTATCTGCAATGAGCTTTTCAGTGTTGTTGTAGAAATGGGACGATAGTAGCTCACACCAGAGTTTTCCTGCACTATCAGCAAAACCAGCCAAGTTCAATGAAACGCAGAAGTTGCTCTCAAGGCAATCGAAACCACACTTATCCACAAACGTCCTCTTTATGTGGGGAACATCAAGACGATAAAATGGAAGAGGCTCAAGCGAGGCTGTTATATATATAGCAACGAGTCGTTGACAATTCAAAATGCACAGAATTAACACAATGATGGCACAGAATTTCATCTCTTTTGTAAATTTATGCCAAACAATTTTCAACGCCAGATAGAAGCCTGATGGTCTCAGAAATACGAGGCAAATGGAAATCACACATAAATTGTAGTTATAACAATGTTAAATGATTGATGAGAAATCAAACAAAGTATAAAACAAACGATATTTATATTTTATTTTATGTCCCTTTCTAACATTTAAGGTCCCAAACGTTACATGAAAATCACCAAACACTTTCATTCTACCTCCACGAACCAATGTTACCAACCACGTAACGAACACTCTGTGGTTTGGATCGGAAGGACAGAAAGAAGCGGTTTAGGTAATCGTTTTTGTGCGAAGAGGCATAAAAAAAATGACAAAGACGCCTCCAAACTTTCTCTAAACAGCTTAACATTCCTGATCAATTATTCAAAAACAGGGCTGTCCGCGGGATTTTCTCTCCACCATTGCAATAGTGAGAGTATGCTATTTTAATCCAACGCTAAGAAAACGCTCTGAAAGTCAGCTTCTTAAACATCGTCTCGGCGTTCAACAAACTTATAAATGACAATCAACCAATTGATTCTATTGTCCATGAAGCTGAGAAAGAGCATCTTTTTATTCGAATAGACCTCATGACTATCACAAGTTAGCTTTTGTCACATACACAAGTTTTAATGTACCCGTAAGCTTTAATATACCTATATGGAATCATCACGTGGAGTGAAGGCAATTAACAAAAGGATGTACTACAAATGAGTTTCAGTTTTTGGAAGGTAACAATTGAAAAAATCAAAACAGAAATCTTAACTTCTTAATATGACTGAAAACAAAGTAACCAATTAATTCAGAAACGTGGTTTCTCCTGACCGAGAAAGTTATTTCAATTTCAAAACCTGTGTCGTCCACACACAAAAAAAAATTTTTCTTCACGCAAACTTGGGGCTCGATGGTTTCACAAAACCTCAATTGCAATATAAAGTCAATTTTCCCTTTCTTTTAAGAATTTTGAGAACTTTCCTCTTAGTTTCTGCTAGTGTGTTTGGCAGACAATTTTCTCGTGAAAAGTGGCGCACTTGTTAAGGAAATTTCAAGTTCAATACGCAGTTGAAGACATACTTATTTAAATTGGCTTATGTAGTTTAGTTAATTTCATTATAATAGCTATTAGCTTTTGTATTTTATAATTTAACCATTGCTGTACAGCGCTGTAAGCAATTAGTAAACACAGCGTCTTATAAGTGTTTTTATTATTATTGTTATCATTATAATCACTATTGTGACTATTATTATAATGTGAGCATAATTTGGATCACCTCCCCAATAAGATCTTCTTTGGCTTTTGCAAAATCCTTTTAATAGTCGAAAAAATATTTCTTGCCCTTTAGGGCAGTTACCCTCAAATCTTCGATGTTTTTTTTTAGATAGTGAAATGATGCGTTTGGACAAACGCAGTAGGATTAAATGTTGTAGGAAGAAAGCTTATTACCTGCAATTCATGTATCTCCCTCTTCAGAAACCTCCGAATCCTTTCCTTAAGGTTTTCGACAAATCTTTCGACGACGCCGCTTGTTAACAATTATTCGCCTCGTGTAGAAAATTTTTTTGGATACAATTGCTTAGGAGCTTTTTGATTATGTTGTAAATATCCGTGTGATGCTGAAAGCATTCTGTTTCAATTCAGTATTTTGATTACTCGTATGAAGAAGCACTTTCCACGAGAATTATAAGTTTCATTTAATTCAGTCAGCAAATACTTCATATCTTTCTTTTGAATAGTGTTACTCCAAACTTATTAGCACCTTTTGGGCTCTTCGGAATTTAGTTTTCCTTATCGCATTTATCAGTTCCTCATTAACACTTACTAAACAAGAAGCAGCTATTTAGATAATATAAATTTAGCGCTCCTGTTATGATCACCTCGCCATAATCACCTCGCGCGAGGCAATTATGGGAAGATCTGAAGCAATCTTCGACCAATCAGAGCGCTCACATCTGTATATTTACCGGAACAATTATACTTTCAACAGATAGAACACTTATTTTAAATCATAGTAACATATCTTTGACCTTCTCCCTCCTCATTTTCATTGTGTCCTTTTTTCTTGTCTCACTTTCTATTCTCATTTTTACTAATCTGCCCTCTTTGAATGACTTGTTATATTCACAAGCCTTTTGCTTAGAAATTTCTTTTGGCGGCAATCGTAGGGGTTCTTTGGCAGCTGATAGTTTTCCCTCGTCAAACTTCTTCTCTTTGTACTTTTCAGCGGCCTCCTTCGCTTCTTTGGGCAGTTTTGGATATTCAATAGCCTCTTAATCAAAGACTTCTTTTTCCGATAGTGGTACATGTCAGGTTTCTTCAACAGTTCGATATTTCATCTCCTTTAAAGGTTTTTTTTGATGAAATTTTCAGTAACCTATTTCGCTCCCTTGGCTACCTCGGCATCTGCATGATCTCCTAGGTTCTCGACAATCATAATGTCGCAAACTAAATATCCCGCAGTATCAATTTCTTGTGCTCTTTTCTCGAGGTCCATTAATCTTGACTCCTTAATCCCTTTGTCTATGACATGTTTTACAACTGGATCGAACGGCATTTCTTGGCCAAACATCTTTTCCATGCCTATAGAAAATTCTGCTCGTCCTTCCGCTTGTTCCTCACTGCAGAAGGGGGAGGGGGTGATTTGAAACCCCCTTGCTTTTCGTCTCGTTGAGGTATTTTGAAAGGTTTCTCCCTTAAACAAATAGCCTGCCATGTCGTCTACGAGATGATGTTAGTATTACGGGATACATATGCAAATGACGCTGCTGGAGGTTACTGACGCCATCCGACATGGATAATTTTTAAAATAAATCACATTTTTCACCATAAATTTTGGCTTGTCAGAAGAATAGTAGCTATCGAGCTTGAAAGGAAATTACTTCGACCCCAACCCGGTTAGAGGGAGGATTTCAAAATGAAAATTAGTGTGATCCGTGATCCACTTGATCGATTGAACCGTGTGATAGAATTGTTCAGCAGAACCACGATTTCCGATCGAGACAAAGCTAGAAGCCACCACTTAATTGAATAAGTTCTTCGAGAATCATTAACTACTAAGACCATTGGTGGAAATAGTCCATCCTTTGTCACTAACCTAAATACACTTCTAAGTACTTGTGACATTTGATGTTAGTTTATCAACGAAGGTAAAAGCTTATCAACATTAAACTACGATGCACAAATATTGAAAAAAAAAATAATTGGCGCCTTTTTGAGGATATCAAACAACCCGGCGTCCTATGGACTCGCAAGGAGCTTTTTTCATTTATTTAAGTTATTTATTATCTTTTTAGAAAGAGTTTGTCGCTCATAGTCATTGAAACCTAACCTGATTGGATCCAGCGATCGTATTGGCGAAATCGATGGCATTTTTACTGAGATTAAGCAGCCCGAATTCAAGGCCACAGGGATCACAGACGGCACTAATTGCGAAAGCTGTGGTCCTATAAACAATTGATGCTGCCAGTTTCAACTTAACAGTCTGATCCAGGTTATTTAAAAGATAACAAGTGTTCATTTATACTGTTTAATAAACAACTCCCTAGTTCTCGATTCGCTTACGTGCCACTGATCATTATTTTTCCCTTCATTTTCTCTATTAGCAGCTATTATTCTGTGCACATTAGAAATCACCACATCGTTTTACAATGTGTTAATAAGTGGCAACATTAAACAGATAGAGGCTTTTCTGTTTTATTTTCTTATTTATGACCATCAACATGTCCTAATTTTGTTTTGGCAAATGACCTCTCCCCCTCTCTTTTGCAAACGCAACCAAAACAAAATCGGCTTTTTCTAACAGGGTTCGTACCCTTTTTTGGACTAAAAATTCAAGGACTTTTCAAGGACTTTTCAAGGACATATTTTTTATTTTTCAAGGACTCCACCAACTGCAAAATAAAAGAATGTTCACCTTATCATAGTAGCGATTGTGCCGAGCTTAAGTCGAGCTAAAAGTCTATGCCTTTTTTAGTTCATCCACAACATTCGCAATTTTGCACTCAAGGTCTTTGCGAGCTATCTCCTTTTCTTTTGCAGTTCTCCTCAAACTATTTGACTTTGTAATCCACACAAGTTTCCCAGTGTCCTCTGCTTTCTGTGCAAACTCGTCTGCCGATTTAACAAGATTGTCAACATCACTGTCTAAACGCCTTCTTTTCTTTTTAAGTTCGTCAAGTTCATCGACTAGCTCCTTTCGCTTCAGTTCTACACCCTCAGAGGTTTTCTTCCTCTTTTGTTCATCAAGATATGATAAATACTTCTGCCTAGCTCCTGCAGCTGACAAAAGAAGTGGTTTGTTGATTGAAACAGCAAGGACACCTCCCACAGATTGTACATGGTCTTGTACCAGCCTTTGAGCAATGAAGGAGCGCTCTTGGAGGTTCTCGACTTCCAGTTGCTTATTGACTGAGAATCCTCTTTCGACACTGGCCTGGCCATGTGATAATATCAGTAGCTCTGAGACTACTTTCCACAATGATTGGTAGGATCGCTTCTGTCCCATGTGAAGATACAGAAAGGAATCAAGTCTATCATTGTTAGGATCATAGTCTTTGAACTCCGACGGAGAAGAAGAGGGACTTCCATAATGAATTGTCTAAATAGTTCCAAAAGGGAATCACATTCACCTTCCGGGACTTTCTTGGCATTTTCAAGGGTAGTCAAAACTCTCTTGAATTTTGTGATGGAAACATCATGGTCACTCATCATGTTTCTTGGATCTAAGCAATTTATATTCCTTACAAGGGAATACTGAATTGGTGCTTTGGCAATCAGTTTGCAAACTACTTTCATAAGGAACTCCTTGCATTCCATCTGAAACTGAAGCACTCTTTTCTCTGAAACTGTGGACTTTGCAATCGACTCCTTGATCTTCTTGTCAGCTGTAAACCCCAGGTCAATCTTGGAATGAGAGGCATGAATGCTGGAGTCAGCAGGGTCAAGCTTCACTGATAACAGTGGTCTTAATAAATCTTCTCATTAATCCCCCAAGCATGCTGTACAGGTCTGTAGCCAGGAAAGGAAGCATAGGCTTGTCGGTTTGATAGAGTGTCAAAAACGGTGTCACTTGCTTGGCTACTGATAGGAAGAAAGCGACTTTTGCAGTCGTAAAGGGATCTGCAACAAACTCTTGTACAGTTTCAAAGGATTTATTCTGTGGCTGTGGAACTTTTCCTGCCCTTGCACTCTGAACATACTTGACAACACTGTCCCACATACTCTGTGTACGTTCTGCAACCAAGACATTCTCCAACCACCTATGTTTGCAGAACTTCAAAGCAAACAGTGAGTTTCCTGTTACTTTGGTGTAGTCCTCCCTCCTTGCCGGACTGTCCTGAAAAAGCCAGTGAAGGCTGGAGAACAACCTGTCTAACTGCCATCCTGATGCCACAGCACCATCCTTGAATGCTCCATGAAGAATGTAAACCACAGCTGCCAATGTTCAGCATGTGACTATTATGCTCCCTTTTTGCCTCATCAGTCAGCATACTGTAAAATTTCCAATTAACGTTGGGTCCATCCATTGACAACTAGTATGAGAGAAAACATTCCTTGTAATATTGAAAGGGAAACAGATTATTTAATTTAGTACTTGCATTACGTCCCAGAGTTCGTGTCATTGTCCACCTAGACACGAAGTGAACTAGTCATGGATGCATTGGAATTGTGAAGATTTGCAATGAAAGAGTGTTGATTTATTTAGACCTTAAAGGGCAGAAAACCAAGTAAGGTGTTTCATTTCTATTTAATACAATTTTATCGCTTTTTGGAACATTGGCTAGATTGTGAACGCACAATTTATATTACATGCAATAAATTAGATTAAGTAATCTTGCATCTTTCGCCCTTCTACAGCAAAATAATAACAGACATTGAAAGATTTTCATGTTAAAAAAAATTTAACGCAACTTCTTGTAATTATCGTTCGCCGGCGAACGATGAAATTAAATGCCAGTCATGAAAACAATATAATTGATTCCAATTTGATCACACCTTTTTAATAATGGCAAGACATAGGTCTTTCAAAAGAGTGGCAATATGACAAAGAATAATTGAAATTAGGTAATTGTGTGAAGACTAAGTTTGTGCTATTGCCTATTTCGAAATGTCGATAATTGAGGGTAAGAAATAATACAACTTCAAAGAAGCATATCTTGCAAACAATTTCATGGATTACCCAAACATAACGAGAGTTGCATCCTACCTGATAAACTTTTTTGAGAGGAATTCCTTCTATGCCTGAACGAAAATGAGAAAGCATGTCCTCTGCTGTTCCATGCCCCATAAACACTGAGGTATAATAGCGACTTTCAACTTCGTGTTTGTCATGATTCCATGAACGAATGTGAATATCCATTTGCTTTGACTGGCACACGCTATTCAGGCTCTCGTCAAACATAAGTACATAAGCTTCTTTTTTCACAACGTCCTTCAAAAGTTGTTTGAAGTGTGGAGCGAGCCCAAAACAGATCAAGTATGCACATTTCTTTTCTCCGCATGTAAACTGACTCGCGATCCGACTGTCAGGAAACATCGCTTGAAACAATTTGCTCGTACCTTCGCATGATTTATAGGAGTAATGAGACATTATCACCTTCAATGCCCACAAAATTTCTGCTTTCAAAGTCTCATCACGAGTGACAATTCTTTCCATCACCGATGAACCAGATGAACTCGTAGTACTAGACTTTGTGGGGTTGAGCGTGTTGTGTTCGCCACTTTCAGACGAAGCGGATTTTGAAACTTCTTTGGCATCGTCACTTGTAGTTGCTGGTTGTTGAGAAGAAACGCCAAAAAAATCTGGAACGCTTGCTAATGACCTTTTCTGGGATGTCAGTGTTTGATGTTTTTTTCCTTTCAAGTGACTTGTGAGCGCTGACTCTCCCATGCTCGAAATGTCAACATCCTTCATACACACGATGCATCGTGCCTTGTGCTTGTCACCCTTGACTTCTCGAAGCCAATCTTTATACAGTGATTTCTGAAGCCACAAGTTGCTGAAAACACACTTGCCCATTGTTTTAAATCTCTCACTCGTGAAACAAAACGCAAACAATCAACACTAACCCAGACAAGGAAAGCACTCAAAGCACATGGCTTTTCTCAGAAAGAGGGAATAGTACAAAACATTTGATTGGCCCTTGACATTCGAGACATTCAACCAATCAGAGTGATTAATAGAACCAAGAACAGGACAAATGGATATGGGCGATTGATCGACATGCGGAGTGGCGTTACGATCGTTTGTTATTTGTATCTTACTATTATGTGTTGCTACGTTTGTGCCAGTTGCATATATTTTCAGATAAGGCACTCTAGAATCTAAGTTGGATTAAATTAGCTACAAATTTCAAGGACTTTCCAGCACTGACTACAATTATCAAGGACTTTCAAGGCCTTGAATTTTTATTTTGAGATTCAAGGACTTTCAAGGACTTTCAAGGCGCGTGCGAACCCTGTTCTAAGGAGTGAAACGTAACTGCGAGGCATTAACTGAACGCAACCAAGAATGAAGCTATTCGAGTTGAAGGTTTGGTTCGCCGCAAGCAGCTATCAAACCAGCCATTAATTCAAAAATTGATTCCACCTCAAGCGAACCATTTATTTACAATCGATTCCTTCAAGCGATCCAGAAAGATGTAAGTATCTTGGTGTCTCAAAAGAACTGTCAACAACATATCAGAAATCAGAAATTGCTGTTTTCAGTCTCCAATATAATACACTCTTCGATCCCTTTTCTTTCTTCAAGAAATAGAGAGAAGATTACCTTTGCGGTGTATTTGCAATCAGTCATCCTTTGCATTTATTAAATTGGCAGTTGTAGATATTGTGACATAGATTCTGAGTTCTGGAATGTTTGTTTACCTTGACTATAAAGGAGTACATGCGGCCTTTGTCTCCTGACTGAATCATCATGTGTTTTCTTGAGCATTTATCTTGCACAATGACTGGTATTAATGGTTCCTTTCATTTTGTTTGACTCGATCTCTCAGTTATGATTTTTTTCTTTACTTTTATGTTTTGTTACCCTGACGATTTCCTAACCTTGGTCATGCACAGGCTTGCAACGCGTTTGATGCGGGCGGGTTTAGTTCCAAAATATATAGCACCAGTGTTAGTTAATATTTTGAAGTGTTCATTAATATTTTGAAGTGTTCATTAATATTTTGAGATTAAGTTTAACAGTCGAATTTTTAATTTCTCAACGAATCAGCTTAATTTGGCACATCAGGTTCCAAATCATAAAGGTATTCAAGGTCAGTTTAAATGGATACTTTGCAATAAAAAAGAGCTTAGCATTATAATAGTTGTTTTATTCTCCTACCATCATATTCAAACAGAAACTAATAACACGGTGTTAGTTTCATAACTTTTACTTTCTCCAGAGCAGTGAGCCCTCGATGTAAAATAGAACGTTTGGATTAAACATATAGATCTTGCTTCATCGCACTTTCCACGTTTATGACGTAATTGATTGGTTAGTGAAATGAGATATGAGTCTGTAAACACGGCTGTGAAGTTACATATTTGTGAGAAACATTTCAAAGCTTTCACAACATGGAAAAAAAATTAGAAAAAAATATTAAGGTAAAATAAAGAACTTCAAGGCTTTGCCCGGCTCGATGTCGATAATCTGGACGACTTCGTTGAGGGAGCTTAAGCAAAGGCGATAAATGTGCAACAAATTACGCAGTTAACAACTTCCAAGGTAATTTTCGAGAATTCCTCCCACCCAAGAGTTTAGGTGAGGCTATGCAAATATGGAAAAATTTCCTTGTTGCTTAAGCGATGCGGGCTAACTGATTGTACAAAATTTAAAAAAATAAATAATATTCCTAGACCCTATTAAAACTGCCAGCTTTTCTATATTTTACACTTAGTGCCAACGACAAATAGGAAAAGACGGTAATCTCAGAATTTTTTGATGATGTCATACGTACTTGAGTCTTTTCTGTCTTTGTGAAATTGATCTGCATGAACACAAAATAAACATTATAAGTCATAATATCACTGCAGGTGGAAGAAGAGATAATAACTCCTGTAACATTTCCTAGCTCATGCAAGGAATTTGTTTGTTTTTCGCTTCTGAGCAGAAACTCTTCAAATCTTTGAATAGAGATTTGGTCTCGAAATATTTCTTGGTCGTTTTTACCTTGTCATTTATTCGTAGTTTTCGGGCAGAAAACGATTACCTGGTATACCCGATCATGTTGCAATAAACTCTTTTTTGTCGAGCTCAGCTTCTGTCTTCATGCTATGTTAAAAATAAATTATTTCATACTTAAGCTGTCCTAACATCCATCAACAAATTACATATTCACAATAATGAATTCTTATAATTACTACTTCTGAAAACCCTCTCTTTCTAACAAAGATAAATGCGAAATGCCCTGGACCACTCTTACAGAGATCACCACTTGATTGACATTATTGATAGATCAACTTTCACTCCACGATTCTATGTTAGGAACATGCCAAAAAACCAAAAACCTTCCAATTTTGTATTGAAATGTTATCAGGTTGTTTTTCTTTGTTTAGATCGTTTTTTGTTATAGCCAAAGGGATTTAATATGACCATTAATTTTATTGCGAAAAATAATGAAATACTTATTAAAAAATAATTTCTATTCGTATAGGGTTTTCTAGAGCCAGCTGTTACGACCTACAATTTTCATAAAAAAAGCAATTCCAAATTGTCTTCCTTTCTCAAGTTACCTTTTAAAGTCATTTATGGCTATAGTAACTTATTTTCACATACTGGCTGAGTTGCTAACCATTTTAGAAGAATCCTTTGAGAGTAAAGAATTATTACCGAAGAGTGGTCATAAGGCAATTTTACCTTCCATCTATTTTCCAAAAAAATTGACATATGTACGGCTGCGAACGCAAGTTACTTCGTTATATCTTTTCTATGTGATTATTGTGTTCAATACCCATTTGCCCATTTGTTTAAGAAGATCAGAGAATGATAAAGGTACAAATTCTGACAGATGCTGCATCTGAAGTACAACGGAAGTTTTATTTTGTAGAGCTTAAAAATAAAAAGGAAGATAGGAGCCAATTGATCCAACTTTGATAAAATTTAGATTTAGACAACTTGGAAAAAGTTGACCACAATGAATATATAGCACTAGATAATAATGCGATAGTTATCGCCCGCTAATTGACAGTCAAAGCTTGCTTCCTTGTAAAATCCAGATCCTGGAGATGTTGGCATGTACACAAACCTAGTGCTCTTATTTTCTTGCATTCACCGTTTCAAAGTTCTGATGGTTGTTATGTATCAACAAGACCATGATGTTCTAGAACATTGTAAGGACCAGACAGTGGACTGGACTGTCTGCTATAGACTAATAAAGGCACGTTACTTGAAGAGGAATATATAGATACGATGTGTGTTTACGCATACATTATTATATGCACGGTAAGTTTATACTTAGAAACCAAACCTACACTTCGTTCAGCATCAGGGTAAAAAAAAAAATCTCTTTCAGCGAAGTAAAGGCTCGATATATTCGATGTGTGGTCTTAAATCTTTTAAGAAATAAAATTAGTATCAATGTTACATTATTGTTCAGTTGAGTGATCTATGTTTTATTGAAAGCTTTTCGAGTAATATAAATATCAATTAAGGTAAGAAGCAAATCTTAGAAGTAAACTTAATATCAAAGCTATCTTCGAGTCGAGTCGAGTCGAGCAATCTCTCTATTCGAAGCTTTTCAACTACATATCTTTTAAGATAAGAACTAATACATCACGGATAAATCCAAAACCGGATGTCCTCGTGATCGAAGGGAGCCGTTTAGTTTATGCATCAACTAAAAATTTACTTGCCCAGAAACCGCAGAGAGTTTGTGAGCTGCTGTTAGGAAAAAAAAAAAAAAGGCTTACATACGTCGGCTTTTCGTTATAGCCCTGAAATGTAAATGCAGAGGAAAACTTGGAAGAGCTAGTCCGGGAAAATGGACAAAGGCCTTCCATGAAAGTCACAGATAAGTGCAAGAGCTGAACGTAAAAACAATTTTTGCCTTGATAAGTTAAGAAATTATATCTTTTATCTGCATTAATTTCTGAGCTCTTTACAACAAAAAAGAACCCCTGATATAGAACACAACGGAAGTTCATTGCTCAGTTCGTGTCAAGTTACTTTTGCATCTCGATTAGTTCTCGTGACAGAGATAGATTAATAAGTCTTTATTCCTCAGGATTAGATACGAAAATTACACTTTAAGAAACTATCATAGTCCTTTTCAGAATTCGTTTAACATAATATACTAGCAGTGCCCCTGATCAAAATTAAACCGACGGGTTCCCCTCCTTCGTTCATCGATTTTTTTTCAAGATCCGAATTAGGAAAGAAATGAAACTTCCCTTATATTTTAGAAATTACTCCTCTCAGGATTTGTTCCATCAACATTTCCTTATTGACCAACACAAAGGAAAATTAATAATAGATATCACACTCTTCGTGTCAAATCATATGGTAAACACAGTACGAGGTAACTCTCCTTTGCAATCATTGATGTGACTAAAATGATCTTTTCTTAGAAAAAGCGGAGGCAAAAATGACTGTAATATTTTCACGAAAATACCAGATTCTTTGCATGCAATATATTCACCTCAGCCTTCGAGCTCCATCAGCCTGAAGAGAGCAGGTACGTGACAGACTGCTGAACCAATGATCAAATTGCTTTTCACAATACATAATCAAAGTGCTCTGTGAGCAAACTCGTGAATCGACACATGATTTTGACACATGATGTTTAATGTTATCTGGTTTAGGGAATTTTGTGGTTGATTGTCATATCTAGAGTACGAGCAGTAGTTCAGTATTCGCTAATGTAGCAAAGAAACAAAGTAACGTTGGGATAAGAAGGCATTACAATTGAAATGATCATGCTATTACATTTGACAAGGTGGATGATGTCATGTGTTTTAAACGTCTATCATTTTTGTTTCTGGTTCAAAAGAAAAGGTTGGAAGTAAATGTGGGTGAAAAGCAAAATTTACTGTCTTTCATTGTAAATATTAGAAAATCAAGGCAATACTGTCTTAATGAAAACATTAACGATTCCCTCTTTATCAAATCAGACAAACTGGAACGAGTTTTGAGTGATATAACTAAGCCAAGCCTGCCACCGTCATTTTGGATCTCCGCCTGGGTAGATTTAAGTCACGTGCTAGGCAACGTATAATCAATAACAAGATAGAATTTCATTTCAGGCCTATTTATCTATTTTGTGGTGTGTAACTTTCGCATTTTAGTACGTTGTATGTATGTTGAATCTTCAAATTGTCTTGAAACTTAAAAGAAAATTGTTCTTTAAAAATTCACTGAAATCGGTAGCTAAAATTGTTTGTTCAGGTGTTATCTGATTTTCGTGTTAACTTGTAATTTCGTCAGTCGCCGGCATCTTTTGTTGCTTCACACAGGAAAAACACACGCGACGAAACGTAATGATCCATTTTGTCCTCAATCTCACGCCATAACAGAAAAAGCTTTTGAACATCTGTAAACTTCGAGCGCTTCGCAGTAAGTAATATTTTCAATGAATCTTCGGATTGTTTTCGAGTTCAAGGATTGTAAATTACAATTTTATGAAAAACGAAGGTTGTTCTGTTATTTCAGTGTGAATCCTTGCATGCCTGCCAGTCGCTGGCGCCGCTTGTTGAAACTAAAACGAAAAAAAAACTCTTTTAAGATTATCATTGGCTTCTTTTTCACCCCACCACTATTCTTAGCAACAAAGGTCACCATTTCTTCTGTTTACTGCTCGCTAAAAACTATCAAATGCACTCAAAAGCCTAAAATCTAAAGAAAGTTTACAGGAATCGACCAATCGAGCGAGCGAATGCCATTCCCCACATGGTATCTATAACTCGCTCTTGCGCATGCGCGCAATTCACGAGTTAAAAATTATCGTGAATGGCCTAAAGACATTTGAATGAAAACTGTGGGTCGGAGCAGCAGGCTCTAGGAAACTTCTATATAAAAACAGATATTAATCCATGAAAATGACTACTCCTGAAAACATCTTCTGGAAAAAAAAATCGGAGAAATTTATGGTATAGATTCAACAGAAACTTGTAAGGATTTAGCTTTTCGGCTGCCTCCCTAAGTGGAGATCGAATGGTGTTAGTTAGCGATTAAAAAGCAATGGAAAAAGCAATAATTAAAGGAAGTGAAATTATTATTATTTGGTAACGTCAAGGAGTTGAAAACTACAGGCGGCTACTATTTGGCTCACTACTGACCGCTTGTTAATTTCAAAACTATTGTAATATGAAATGTTTGCATTTACCGGTGAAATAAAAGTAGGACTCTTCAATAATTTTGTTTTAAGGAGTAAAACGTATTAGATGACAATTAAAACAGCCCTTCCATTTCTGATTGGTCCATTCCATGCCCAGTAAACAGGTGTCAAACTCTGTGCGTCAAAGCGTCTGACAAAAGCTCCCGAGGGTAATAATTTCCAGCTTTAATCGTGACTCTGTTAGCCCAAATGGTTTTTCAGTTGCCTGTAGATGGAGCCAAATGGTTTTCATAAAACCTCAATATATACATAATTTTTCCTTCTTAAAAGTTTGAAATATTCTACTTGTTCCAATGAAGGAGGCAATTAAAAGTCTCATACAGCGACTGAGAAGATTGTTGAATATTTTAACGGCAGACTTCAATAACTCCTTCATTCCACTCTTTGTCGGAATAATTTTTGACACAGCAAAGAGCCAAACCTGCAACAGAATGGATGCGAAAACTGCGACGAATCGCAGTATTGCGGCGAATTTCACCGGGAATTTATCACTTCGTCCAGCTGTCCAGTCTGTACCGTTGGGGCCCGAGGTAAGTCCATTTGACGAGTTTTTCAAGTTTGCCTTCGGATCAGCAATTTACATGATCATCGCTTCCTTCGTAACCGTCTTAGCCAACGGTTTGTAGCTTGTCGTTTTCTTCTTCGATCCATTGAAGACATTTCGCACTGCCACTACCTATTTCCTAATCGGTCTTGCCTTTGTGGATATCTTAACAGCCGCCTCGCAAGAGCCCATGTACGCTACCTGCTTCATAATGATGTATCTTGGACATCCTGACACCCTAGCAACGTGCACACCTCTTCTGAGTGTGGGCCAAGTGATAGCTGTTGCAGCCATGAATGCATCCTTTCTGATAGTACTTGCCTTCACAATTACACAGTACATTGTGTTGGCCTCGCCGCTGAAATACGGCCGGCGCGTTACAAAATCGCGCGTGGTTATCTGTGTTTTGGCTATATACGCGTACTCCATATTGTTCAGTCTCTTTCCTGTTATGAGCCTCACCGAAGAGATCGTGCAAAAGATCGATAACATTTTTCACTCCATTACATTGGTCTACGTCACAATTATCTTTTACATTCTGCTGTACGTCGCCTTTAGGAAGAAAATGGCTGCTTCTAAAAGTCTTCAAGAACACAAGACCACACAAGATAGAGTTAGAGACAATAAACAAACAGGGGTGGTACGCAAGTTTATCATCATCAATTTTCTCCTAATCGCCATCTTGTTTTTGACGTCTCAGCCGTCTGCTGTTTTATGGATTTACCGCTTGTATTCCAACGAAAATCCCAACGCTCCAAGTGTTCTTATCGTCAATCTCATGTTGGCGGACAACCTGCTTTACCTGAAATTCCTGCTCGACCCGTTTGTCTACGCATGGCGAATACCCAGATATTGACGGGCGCTAAAAAATGTCATGCGTTGTGGCAGAAAGGAACCTGAGGAGACCTTCAGTGACCGCGTCATGGCCCAGGTTAGGAAGTCACGTGAAACAGTGGTAGCCCTGGACTTTAAATGCATTAAGGACTAAAACTTTGATATTAGTTTAAGGTTTAGAGAGGCTATTTGGAAAAATGTCGAGTCTTGCAAGCCTTTCATTCGATCTTCTTATCACCATAGCCTCTATAACTATTCTCAAACTCTTTTTTTTCAAATTTCTCAGAGTCTGGGATCCGAACCGATTGTCTACTTCCAGAGAAAGCTAGAGCAGCATTAAGGTTTCTTCGTGAGCAAAAAAACGCACTTTCTGAGCTGATAAATTGCCAAAACATACACAAAATAGGAAATCGCAACCATAATTAGTCCCGAATGGTTATCAAATTTGGCAACCATGTGACGTCATAATATGGCGACCAGTTCAGAACTCGAAGATTTTCTTACTCAATGCGAAATGTTCGTTATTTATTCGTTTTTCTCGCCGTGAATAATCATAACTCTATTGGAAATTAATGAATAGATTATGTTCTTCGCTCTTCCTCAAGATGGTGGTCATCAATGTGTAATAGAGACGACATTTTGGGCAGAGAAGTAACAGGGCACCTGAAAGTGTGATCGAGGTGTGTTTTTCAATTTTCCCTTAAGGTTTAGGGTAGTAAATTAACTTTTACGAAGTAAAAAAAGATATGGAGCTTATCCTCAATCTATTTTCTTCCGATGTTTATGTTATTTATCGTGATGCAAACTGCACCAGAATAGTGCATGAGGTGGTCTTGATTTACGTCCACCCAATCACCAACTGCCATTTTTAATTTTCAACAATGCTTTTCATCTTTCTGTTCATTATGAAAACATTGTGATTCCTTATCACTGTTCTATACTTAGTGTATATGGAACCTTTTTTAAAGACAATGATACTTCAAAGGAAAGCGCTCTGTCGTAGACTTTTATCCTCCGTTGGAGGGTTGATCTTACTTAAATACTTTAATACATCAAAAATTAAATGGGGATACTCCTAAAACAGTGTACAATGTACTAGGAGTTGAAAGTAAATATAGTAAATAAATAAATAGAAGAGATAATTATTTGGATGCCAATCTCAATATATCTACATTACAAAATTACCATTTACGAGAATTAAATACAGTTAATAAAAATGGAAACAAGAATATATATATCATTGTAAGATAATCGTGGATCCAATGGTTGGCATTACATACTAGTAAAGGGGAAAATATCTTTAGTTACAGTTAACTGATTCTAGGCTACCATCAAACTTGGGTAAAACGAATATAAAGTTATAAAAATTGTAACTGTTCTGAATATGACGAAAGGGGAATGCATTACGGACTCAAGAAGCCCTGTTTGGAGGAAACGCTTCAAATGAAAGAGGGATACCAACTAAGCCTTGTTGAATTTTATAACACGTGGATGATTGGTAAGAAAGTCTAGCTTGCTAAGAGTGTCCCAAACAAGATGATATAACATGGGAGTAACATGACAAAAAATTTGCTTCCAGTCGCTTTATGCTAAGGAAACCGAGTTATTAAGCTCCCGTTGGATGGGCCTCATGGCTCAAGTACAGACTCTACTTTACCTTACATGGTTGCCATAAGTCAGAAAATGACTTTTAAAAAGTCGTTGTAGTACTAGCTATAACTATTTTAAAAAGGCCTTTAAAAAGTCTGGCAATTTCATTCCAAGTCAGAAACCTAATGTTTTTGAGAAATTTGAGGGAAAAGAAAAAAATTTCGATCGATTCAAGTACTTCCGAAGGTTTTAGGAGCACGAAATGTTAAAACACTAAATTGAGTTTCAATGAATAAAAAAATTGATTTAGTTTTAGTGGTAGCTCATCCACATAGTCGGCTCTTTATCTATAAAATTCCAAAACCGGCTGGCGAATAACATACATATACGACCCTGCTGTAACGTTGATCACTTGATAATCAAAGTGGGCGATTTTGGCTTGGCACTGACGAAAAAGATGATGCTTTAGATAAAGATTCACAAGATAACACCCTTAGGTACACTTGTAAGCCTCCGTTATTGCAAGGTTTGGGTTTCTCAGCTGATTCCTTAAGTAGAGATCGCAAGGTTTCGTAGGTGGATGAAAAATGCTATTATTCGAAAAAGAAATGATAAAAAGGTTATCAAATGTCAATCATAGCAAGTTTTGTTATCAATTTCTGATCGGTCCATACCTCTTGAAAATAATAAATAGGCGCCTTACCCCGTGCACAAAGTTCCTGACACAAAAGTTAGGGACGAACGGATGCTTTCAGCCTAAATTAGATAACAACAGCGACTGACTTAATTTTAACTTTTAAGTGCGGGTTGGGCCAGGTGGTTTTGTCGAACTTCTTTAAAAACACAAGTCTTAAAACTTTATCAAAACACTCTTTGCTCGACCGAAGAGGCAATTAACGGCCCTGGATAGCTATTACGACGACATTTAATGGAGCTGTGGTTTTGGGTTTGGGTTTAACCTTAAGATTTGATGTAATTATTTTAATCTCAAGAATATTAACTGATAATAGGAGATGTAACAATACTCAAAAGAATGTAATTTTTTTTGAAAAATTAGAAATCAGCATAGGCCAAATAAAAAAGATTCTTGGAAAACGAAGTGTGTATTAATGGAAAAGCTAAGCAACCTTTTTACCGGTTTTATATGTTGAAAACACACACACACACATGCAGATTTCTTATAGACCTGTAGTTCAAGCCTACCATGACTTCAAATTTTGATCCACACTTCAAAAGGAGAAGAAATAAATTTCAAATTTCTATTGATTCAGTTTAGTTTTGTCAGGTAAAACTGAGTCAAACAAAGAAATTTCACAACTAATTTATTGGGTTAGCCTACCTAGAACAATCAACTTCGTGTACAAATAAGATTAGGTATGTACTGATATTGCACAAAAGAACTCTCTGTGGGGAGAGGGCAGACTTTTCCCTCTTCATTATAAAAGATACTGAGATTATCATCTTTCCACAAGCTCAGTGGAAAGAGAGAGTGAGAGAGACTGATTGCGACTATGTTATTTGAGTAAATATTCAGAGAAGGATAAAAGGCAAGATATGGTCTGCACAACCTTCTTATTTTAACTTTATAACCAATTAAGCTAAGTCATTTATATTTTGCTTTGTGCATTACGCGGATGTCAATTTATTTAACTTTCACGCAGGTCAACAAAAAACACGAATTAACATAGTAGAGCCCACTTTAATTTCAATTCTAATTAAAGGAGGATCTTTGCTTTTCAAGTTTCCCACCCTTTAAAACTCACATATCTTGTGACCAATTCCTTATATCAATGTTTAGTTTGGGTGTGAGTATTGGTAAGAAACACCATGCATTAATGAATGAGCAAGAGTATTTAATGCAATTCAAATAATAACATTAGATGTTACAATGTGGTAACTTACACGGCAAAATTATATAATCACATAATTCCAAACAAAGAAAGTCAGGTAACTGACTAACCTGCTTCAACTTTTGAGGGCTTGAGGTAGAAAGAAAGAAATATGGTAAACAGTTACAGTTAATACAAAGTTGAAATTTTAAAAGCTAAGAGATATACATTACAATCATTAAATCCTATGCATTTTAGCAAAAAAGAGTCAGTTACCACCATAACTTCTCCCAAACATTCATACTTGCTGAAAATCATTAATTTGTCACTATAATTAGTGGTACTATAATTACAATGGTTCCACTGACACAAATGCATTTTTCTAAATTTATCTCATAGCTTATGACTGTACAGGTCATGTAGATGGTTCCTGCATGGGGACAGACATTTCAATTACCTCAGCAAACTGTAATCATCAAAATTGCAAACCAAGGTGTATTTACCAAGTGCTCAAGTTTCAAAGTAGTGACCTAATTGTTACAGTCGAGTTCGCTCCTTTTTGAGGCTATCTTCAGCTTGATCGTCCTGTTACATGTAAAAACATCAAATGTTACTCACATATTCAAATACTTGCTTGAATCAAAATTGTAATTTTTTTTTTAATAACCTGCTTCCTTTAACCTTTTAATCCCTGATAGTGACTAGCATCTAATTTCCCCTTTTAATAACACCCCCGAATCAAGCATTAAGCTTAATTATGAGAATAAAGGCAATAATAATAAATTGAAGAACCTCTTTATTGTTAAACAAATTCTCCCTGTTAGCACATAAGGAAATGTATTGAGAACAGTACGGAGAATATGCATACTGATGTTAGGGTGTAAATGGTTAATAGTGCTCCAAAAATAGTATCTAGTATTGGTGAGAGAGAGAGAGAGAGAGAGTTCTTAAAACATTCTATGTTAAATAAAACTTTGTTATGAATGTTAATTGCAACAGCAATGAAAACATCTCTGAGGCTACAATAACAATTGCCTTTCCATGTAAACAAACCATAATAAAGTGTGAATATGGATAAATTTAATCTCACCCAATTTGAATGTAGAATCCGAAATCTAAGAAACTTAGTGGAGAATAGGAAAAGTTCAATGTGTTTTTCCTGCATCTGTCATTCTAAATATCACAAGTCAATCATGCCACCACTTAATTCAGTGTGATTTTTTTTAAGATGTGTACTTTTTCTTATGGTCATCTATTTTTGGTATCTATCTTCTACCAGTTGACACCTGAGAAGAATCAAGTCCAAACTGGTGATTTGACACATTGTAAGCAAACCCTACAACTGATTACATTTTATTTGATAAAAACATGAAGAGCAACAGAGGAAATTGTCTAGCACAATTCAGGTTTCCCTCATTTCACTGTCTCCTGTCCATCTGTTTGCTTTCCTACCCAGGTAAAAATATAAGGCGGGATCCCGCCAATCCCACCTGGGATCCTAGGTGTGTCCCGGGTGGGATCTCACCTGGAATTATGGAACATCCCAGATGGGATTATACATGGGATCCCTCCTTCAATTCCTAGTAGCATCCCACCCGGGAAA